ACTCGATTTGTTGATGGAATCTTCAGAATTCATCGAAGGAAATATTTCACGTATCCCACAGATTTCAGTAACTGAAGAGAAACCGGTTGAAGCTGCTCCAGTCGAAGAGGAACCAGTCGAGGCTGCTCCAGTCGAACAGAAACCAGTTGAAGCTGCTCCAGTCGAAGAGAAATCAGTCGAGGCTGTTCCAGTTGAAGCTGCTCTAGTCGAAGAGAAACCAGTCGACGCTGCTCCAGTTGAAGAGAATCCAGTTGAAGCTGCTCCAGTGGAAGAGAAACCAGTCGAGGCTGCTCCAGTTGAAGCTGCTCCAGTTGAAGAGAAACCAGTTGAAGCTGCTCCAGTTGAAGCTGCTCCAGTGGAAGCTGCTCCAGTCGAAGAGAAACCGGTTGAAGCTGCTCCAGTCGAAGAGAAACCAGTCGAGGCTGCTCCAGTCGAAGAGAAACAAGTCGACGCTGCTCCAGTTGAAGAGAAACCAGGCGAGGCTGCCCCAGTCGAAGAGAAACCAGTCGACGCTGCTCCAGTTGAAACTCCTCCAAGCGAACGGAAACCAGAAGAAAGAAAAGAAGCTGATTCTGAAATCAAGAAAATCGAAAAACCTCTTCTCACTGATGTCGAAGTGGAGCTCGTATTCTCGAAGGCTGAAATTTTCTGCGGATTGGAACTTGATTTGTTGATGGAATCTTCAGAATTCATCGAAGGAAATATTTCACGTATCTCACAGATCTCAGTAACTGAAGAGAAACCGGTTGAAGCTGCTCCAGTCGAACGGAAACCAGTTGAAGCTGCTCTAGTCGAAGAGAAACCAGTCGAGGCTGCTCCAGTTGAAGAGAAACCAGTCGAGGCTGCTCCAGTTGAAGCTGCTCCAGTCGAAGAGAAACCAGTCGACGCTGCTCAGGTTGAAGCTGCTCCAGTAGCAGAGAAACCAGAAGAAAGAAGAGAAGCTGATTCTGAAATCAAGAAAATCGAAAAACCTCTTCTCACTGATGTCGAAGTGGAGCTCGTATTCTCGAAGGCTGAAACTTTCTCCGGATTGGAACTAGATTTGTTGATGGAATCTTCAGAATTCATCGAAGGAAATTTTTCACGTATCCCACAGATTTCAGTAACTGAAGAGAAACCGGTTGAAGCTGCTCCAGTCGAAGAGAAACCAGTCGAGGCTGCTCAGGTTGAAGCTGCTCCAGTCGAAGAGAAACCAGTTGAAGCTGCTCCAGTGGAAGAGAAACCAGTAGAGGGTGCTCAGGTTGAAGCTGCTCCAGTCGAAGAGAAACCAGAAGAAAGAAGAGAAGCTGATTCTGAAATCAAGAAAATCGAAAAACCTCTTCTCACTGATGTCGAAGTGGAGCTCGTATTCTCGAAGGCTGAAACTTTCTCCGGATTGGAACTAGATTTGTTGATGGAATCTTCAGAATTCATCGAAGGAAATATTTCACGTATCCCACAGATCTCAGTAACTGAAGAGAAACCAGTTGAAGCTGCTCCAGTCGAAGAGAAACCAGTGGAGGCTGCTCCAGTTGAAGCTGCTCCAGTGGAAGAGAAACCAGTCGAGGCTGCTCAGGTTGAAGCTGCTCCAGTCGAAGAGAAACCAGTCGAGGTTGCTCCAGTTGAAGAGAAACCAGTCGACGCTGCTCAGGTTGAAGCTGCTCCAGTCGAAGAGAAACCAGTTGAAGCTGCTCCAGTGGAAGAGAAACCAGTCGACGCTGCTCCAGTTGAAGCTGCTCCAGTTAAAGAGAAACCAGTCGAAGCTGCTCCAGTTGAAGCTGCTCCTGTTGAAGAGAAACCAGTCGACGCTGCTCCAGTTGAAGCTGCTCCAGTTAAAGAGAAACCAGTCGAAGCTGCTCCAGTTGAAGCTGCTCCAGTTAAAGAGAAACCAGTCGAAGCTGCTCCAGTTGAAGCTGCTCCTGTTGAAGAGAAACCAGTCGACGCTGCTCCAGTTGAAGCTGCTCCAGTTAAAGAGAAACCAGTCGAAGCTGCTCCAGTTGAAGCTGCTCCAGTCGAAGAGAAACCAGTCGAGGTTGCTTCAGTTGAAGAGAAACCAGTCGACGCTGCTCAGGTTGAAGCTGCTCCAGTCGAAGAGAAACCAGTTGAAGCTGCTCCAGTGGAAGAGAAACCAGTCGAGGCTGCTCCAGTTGAAGCTGCTCCAGTTAAAGAGAAACCAGTCGAAGCTGCTCCAGTTGAAGCTGCTCCAGTTAAAGAGAAACCAGTCGAAGCTGCTCCAGTTGAAGCTGCTCCAGTTAAAGAGAAACCAGTCGAAGCTGC